GTTGGGTAGATTTGTTCTCATTGTTCTGCTCAATAATTTCACAGGTAATGAAAGTGAGGGTGAAGTCAAAATTCTGAGCTGCTACCTGAACAACTGCTGCAAAAGTGACTGCAGAGCTCAATCTCAGTCTTCATAGGACTTTTGCAGCAGTTGTTTTCTTGTTTCGGGTCACAATCCTATGCATTGTCCTTTTGTCTCTTTCGGTCAGTTGACAATGTGGAATGCGCTTATGCTTGTCAGATGATGTTTTCCCAGAAAATGTATATGCCGTCATAACTTTTGAAACTATGTCTCGTGACACAGCAAATAAATTCAGTCAGAAAAACCAGCTAAGCAGACACCAAGAATGTATCCTCTTTGAAGCTCACTAAGCTCTGACATGACTCTGTATTACTAGTAGCACACAAAGTGAATGATAAAAGTGAGGCTTCACAACTGTTAGCTCGAACAGTGGAAGCAAAATAATGTTACATCACTTATGCTTTCAACGTGAAACATATTCTCACTTACACACCTGCAAATCATATAGGGTTTCCATTTTTTTTTGTCCAACCCCTGTGTACATATACACTATGTATGGCCCCTTCCTTTTCCCAACATGACTGCGCACCAGTGCACAAAGCCCTGATCTCAACCCAATGGGGGACTGCAAACCAGGCCTTCTCGTCCAACATCAGTGCCTGACCTCACAAATGTGCTTCTGGAAGAATGGTCAAACATTCACATAGACACACTCCTAAACCTTGTGGACAGCCTTCCCAGAACAGCTGAAGCTGTTATAGCTCCAAAGGGTGGGCCAACTCAACCCTACGGGATTACTGGGATGTCATTAAAGTTCATGTGCGTGTAAAGGCAGTCGTTCCAATATTTTTGCCAATATAGGGGGGCACGTGTACATATACATATTTATATATATATTATATACACACATACATACACACACACACTCACTCGGAGGTGCAAATTATATCACCTGATGCCCAGGACATGTTTCAGGCGGTGGGCAGGTGGTTTTCTTTTACTGTTAGCCCTGCTGCGGGCAAGCAGCAGGGTTTACTTTTTTTTTTGCCCAGGAGATTCCCATTTTAAAGCAGAAGTGATCAAGTCACTTCAGAAAGCGGTGGAAAGCCCCTCCCCCCAAAGTCCTGTTGCAGGTCCTTGTATGATGTCTACGCTGCGCCAGCCCAGGGAGAGTTCCATAGTGCAAGCTGGATGGAGTAGATTAAAGACATGGGAGGCTGGCTCCGGGGCCAAGCCTGCCTACTGAACTACAGAGGAAGAGAACAGGAATGAGGAGGGGAGAGACTGCGCCATCTGCCAGACACACTTAATAACATGACCTCACCTCCACCCGCAAGAATTTTTTTTTTTTCTTCCCCCCAGGACATAGTCGATTGTCATTAGGGACAAGTAGAATGAAACCCCAATTTGATACCTTGGACAATTATTTATTTATTTTTTTTTTTAAGGTTGAGATATATACAATCTCACAGAAGTAAGTACACCCCTCACATTTGTGTAAATAATTTATTCTATCTTTTCATGTGACAACACTAAAGAAATGACACTTTTCTACAATGTAAAGTAGTGAGTGTACAGCTTGTATAACAGTGTAAATTTGCTGTTCCCTCAAAATAACTCAACACACAGCCATTAATGTCTAAACCGCTGGCAACAAAAGTGAGTACACCCCTAAGTGAAAATGTCCAAATTGGGCCCAATTAGCCATTTTCCCTCCCCGGTGTCAGGTGACACGTTATTGTTACAAGGTCTCAGGTGTGAATGGGGAGCTGGTATGTAAAATATAGATACGCCTGCATGTCTCTTCTGCAAAAATATGCCCATACCTGCCTGCTCACGCTTTTCTCCAGGTCTGGGATGACTAGCTCCTGTGCATACACAGGAATGTCGGCCAAAGAAAAGGCCCAAAGACCGATACTCTGAAGAAGGAGTATTCACCCTTTAGCTCCACTATAAGCAAGGGTTCTTTTGCACAGGCAGCTGGGGGACGTTAAAAACAGGCAGCAGAGCTGTGGTTTTACCACCCCCTATGGCTGCCAACCTGAACTATAATGTAATAGCTGGACAGAGCTGTGCACATGCTGCAGCTTGGACACTTCACTTAGCAGCTTTTTTAACTCAAGGTGCAGAGTTTGACAGTAAAATTGCCATTTGGCATTAGAAAAAAAAAAAAAAAACCCCAAAAAAACAAAAAAACACAGGTATTCAGGAGGTAGCAGTATCACCTCTTGAACATCTGTCAACCACCGTTATACAACCCTCTGAAATGTGATCCACCAGGATTGACTTTTCAGAGGGACTATGCAGTACAACAGGTCTGGAAGAGCACTAAAACAAAAAAAAACAAAAAAAAAAAAAAACAAATCTCAAGCATGCTCCTTACTGACTTACTGCTGTCTGTGCCATGCGTGTCTCCATCTGTTGAGAGAACCTTCAGTTCCCTCTGTCCTCCTAGAAGTGACATCACAGGTGACTTGGAACAAGTGGGTCCTGCCCACCTTCACCAGCAGGTTCCAAGGACCTCTAACAGTGTGCCCCACCCACCCCCACCAATGTGTCCCACCTATCTCCACTAGTGGGTCCCGCCCAGCTCCAGTGTGTCCCGCCTACCTTCACCAGTGGGTAGGCAGAGGAGAGAGCAGAATCCGCACCACCAGTAGCTGTTCCGGTCACTGCCATGCAATTCTCTAGCTGAATGACAGAAGTAACAGCAGGCTGATGTTTCTCAGACAGATGTCACTTCTTTCATGATTGCTGGTTATCACAGCCGTATCACTGAGGAACTCTACTTGAACCCAAGGACACTTCACTTGGGACATAATATATATATACACATATACATATATATATATACACAGTATGTATGTATGTATATATATATATATATATATATATATATATATATATATATATAAAATATAAATATTTTTTGTTCATTACTAGCTTATCTTATGAGCACATATATGACCACGATTTATGTTTCAGTCTATTGACTGTATATGATATTTGATTTTTCCACCGCACTTTTATATATTTTATCATTTCTGTGGATAAGGGGGTTCTTTTTTTGTGCTAGCTGCTTTTTATTGGTTTTTGCATTAATATGAATTTTGGATATGTGCACTTATGTTGAACTGGACTGGTGTCTTTATTCAACCTAACCCCAACTGTGCAACACCCTAAACACATGTAAATGCAAGTCAGAAAAAAAAACAACACATGCATAACTCCTTAAAATGCACCGTAGAACTAGGCAGGGATTATCCACTGTCCCCTGGGCTCTTTGCCTTGATGATGGAACCCACTGCCCTAGCTTTCCAAACCACTCTGTTAGTATGTGGCATCGAGGTGGGTAGCTTAGTGGAAAAGACACCCCTGTATGCAGATTATGTAGTAATATTCCTGGATGACCCGGTGGTATCTCTACCTACCGCGTTGGATATTGTAGATTACACAGCTTCTTTTTCTGAGTTACGTGTGACTTGGCATAAGTCCCAAGTACTTTCCTTGGGTGGGGAAGTTTGTGAATTAATTAAAATGAAGATCCTTCCTGTTTTGCTATATGCCATTCGTAACGCCCCGGTTTGGATCCCTAATTCTAGTTTTCATTCCCTTCAGTTTGATTCCTAAGTTTCTTTGGCAGGGAGGTACCCTAGGCTCAAACTGGTGGTTTTACAACAACCTTGGAAGGAGGGAGGTATGACAGTGCCCAATTTCTACAAGCACTTCCTAGCTGGGTAACTAATGTTTGAACATAGATTGTTGACTGGGTCTTTGGACGATGCTGCAGTTGCTCAGGGGTAGCAGTGGTGGGATCTTATGAGGCTTTGACTCATTTGGTTCATAGAAGACTCAAGTCCCCCTCATGTAAAAACCACATCAATGAGAGCTGTTTTACAAGCTTGGTCAGTGGTGCATGGGAGTGAATTTGGGGGACCCTTCCCTGTCTTCCCCCATGCTCCGAAAATGCTAGGAAAAATCCTAACCTTCCTCATTGTCTCACTTATAAAGGATCTTAATGTGTGGACAAGATATGGGGTCAAGAAATTAGGTGACATAGTGCATAATGGGGTTTTGAGGCTCTTCGATGAGTTGAAGTTTCTCTATCAGCTACTCAACTCTCGGTTCATTACATAGCTACAGCTGCAACATGCATACCAATCACAGTTTGAGAGCACTAGTGTTTCCCTTGCCTCTTCTAATCTAAAGCTTATGCTGCGGGATGAGGTCTAAACCAAACCACTGTCTACTATATATAAATCCCTTTTCCCCAAAACACATAGGTTACTTACTCCATGTAGAAACTGCTGGGAAACGGCTGTTCCTGACCTTGATACTAAAGATTGGGATGTTTGGGAAGCACCATTTATTACGCTTATATCTGCTAGAGATTAACTTATCCATTGTAAATGTGTCCATCATCTCTGACTCCTGCTCGGCTGGAGAAAATGTTTTGCACAGCATCAGGGGCAGATTTATGTATAGTTTCTGTGATTGTTCAGCTATTCAGAAGTATTGAACTGGGGTACTTCAGTGTGTTCAGGAAGTTACCACCATACCACACTAGCTGTTGGTGAGGCATTGTCTTTTGAGTTTGGTAGATCTTGCCCCTACTAAAGCCATGTACTCTCCTTATCCTTTTATTTTTATTATGCCAGGAAACTTATAATATTGACTTGAAAAAAAAGACGGTAGTTCCATCGGTCTTCGCTTGGAAGACTTTGATTAACAAGACGCTTCCATTATATAAAGGCCACATATGCTAACGGGGGAGCCCCTCACAAATTTCAAAAGGTCTGGGGAGGAATGGTGGCATAATCCCAAACTATGTCAGATTGCATTAACATTCGTTTGGTGTATTCTTATAGTTTAACCACTAGCCTACAGGGCACTTATACCCCCTTCCTGCCCAGGCCAATTTCCAGCTTTCAGTACTGTCGCACCTTTTCTCCTTCACTGCTGTGCGCTAATGAGGCTGCAGTGATGGGCACTGATAGGCTGCACTGATGGGCACTGAAAGGCAGCACTGATACATGGCACTGATAGGCGGCATTGACTGGCACTGTTAGGCGGCACTGATGGGTGACATTGAAAGGCAGCTCAGATGGGCACTGATATGTGGCATTGATGTGCACTGGTATGCACTGATATGTGGCACTGATGGGCACTGGCACGTGGCACTGATGACCACTGACACGTGGCACTTCTGGGGCCACACTGATCATCAGTGCCCTGATGATCAGTGTACATGTCCCCTTTGCAGAAAGCAGATTACCGGCTCTCCTCTCGAGCTGTCCGCGTGACAGCTCGAGGGGAGAGAAATGCCGATAACCGGCATTTCCGTGTTTAAATGTGATCAGCTGTGATTGGACACAGCGGACCGGCGATCGATGTGCTGCGCGCTCCCTGAGCCGCGCATGCGCAGCGAGAATGGTAGGACGTCATATGACGTCCTATCAGAACGAGAGAACCACCTTGCGCCCGTTACTGTACTATAGGGCAGGCGGAAGGTGGTTAAAGACATGTTATTGTAATCAAGGAAGACATTGTGTTTACCATGAGTATTTCAATCTACCTTTACCTGTACATTGAAGGACAAGTGTGGAGGGTGATGCTGGTTTCATTTTATAAGATATTGTAGAGAGGTTTCCTTTGATGATGTTTTGTGCAACACCTACTGTACTAACCATAGGCTAGGGTTTCCTTGTTATGTTATTTCCTTACACAACTGCAGACTGCGGGTTCTCGCAGTCGCATTTTTTGTTCTGTTGTATGTATATGAAAATGTAATAAAAACATCTCCAAAAAAAAAAAAAAAAATGCACTATAGAAGCATTACAAATGCAAGAAATGTGCATATTTGCCAACAGTCATGGATTTGCCGGGACACTCCCATTATTCAGTAGGTTGTCCCCCACGACTTTGTCCTGGGCTGTGTCCCAACATCTACAGTGTGGTTGTCTTTGCAAATAAATACTCAGAAGGAACAGAATCTTCCCTCTCCGCCTCCCCCCCCCCACTCTATTTCACTCTGGATGCTCTAGCAGAGGTGGAGCGTCTCTACTGCCAGCTGCTGCTGCTGCTTACATGTGTGGGATGGGAATTAATCGCCCAGCCAAAAAAGATCCAGCAGTTCCTTCTGATGGATTTGTGGGTGAAGGTGAACTGGCAGTATATTATGGGATGGCAGGAGGGACTTTAGGGCAGAGTGTTAAGTATGGCAGGGTGATAAGTGGCAGGGAGGAGGGGTGAGCATGCAGGAGAGTCAGTTGTATGCGAGAGGGTAGTAGTCACCAGGCTCTTGTGCAGTGGACCTGCAACCAGCATCATTGCTGCCTCTAAGCATGCCACTGCCCAGTGGCCACTGCAGTGCTGGAGCATTGAATTAAGGCTCCTTTAGAGTATGTTTACAACCTGTAGAAGAAAACCCAGCTCCCCACAACGGTACACAGATAATCATATTTTCTTTGTATCCCATTGACAGTTCCACACTGAGGGGCACAGTGGCACAAAAAAATTCAGACATGTTGGGAGTTTTCCACACCACTCTGCAGTTGTCCCTGCATTTCTGTGCAAGGCAGCTGAGCTACTGTGCATAGAAATGAATGGAATGTCATCTTGCGACATTACATTAAAGTTTAGGGAAAGAAAAGAGAAATGGTGCCTTGCACTGTAAAAACACAAGACACCACTCCCCAACTGCGATCGCTATCCACAGAGAAACAGAAAATTTTTCTTCGCAGGTAGTGTGAACCTGCCCTTACACCATGTACCTTCACACCCTCTGAACTCCACACTCCTCTCGTGAACATGATACCTGCCATCATACACTACTCTCCTGTACATACCACCTGCATCGCATCCTAGCACATTATGGCGTACTTACCTTAACACAAAGCGGTGTGCTGTCACCACTGATGGGGCTTTCATCTTCACACGGACTTCAGAGTTCACGGGCTGCGGCCAATTAGCGTACACTCTGCACTCATCTTCTGAACATACAGCTGCTGTCATACACTTCTCTCCTGTACATACACCTGATGTCATAAACTTTGCACTCCTCTCCTGAACATACAGTTGTCGTCCTACACTCCTCTTCTAAACAAACAGAAGCCATAATACACCCTGCACTCCTCTCCACTACATACTACCTACCATCATACACTCCTCTCCTGTACATACTAGCTGGCATCATACACTCCACACTCCTCTCCTGTACATACAACTGCCATCATGCACTCCACATTCCCTGCCTGTACATGAAACTGCCATCATACACTCCACAGTCCTTTCTTGCAAATACAATTGTTGTCATACACTCCACACTCCTCTCCTGTACATACTAGCTGCCTCATACATTCCACACTCCGCTCCTAAACATACAACTGTAGTCATATACTTTGCACTCCTCTCCTGTACATACCACCTGCCATCATACATTCTACTCCTGTGCCTGCCGTCATGCATTCCAAATTCCTAACCTGTACATAACAGCTGCTAACAAATATTCCACACTGCTCTCCTAAACCTACAGCTACCACCATACACTTCGCACTCCTCTCCTAAAAATGCAGTTGTTGCCATACACCCCCCACTCCTCTCCACTACATACTACCTGCCATCAAACACTTCACACTCCTCTCCTGTACATACTAGCTGCCATCATACACTGTACTCCACTCATCCTTTCCTGAACATACAGCTGCATCATCACGCATTCAGCACTCATCTCCTCTATATACACCTGCCATCATACACTCTACATTCCTCTCCTGAACATACAGCTGCTGTCATACGCACTTCTTGTCACTGAACCATGCACTTAGAAGAGACAGCATACTCAAGCTGTCCCTTCATAGCTCTTGTGCAATGGCTGTGATTCCCGTGTGTATGTGCTGGAGTGACATCATCGTGGCTTGACCATTCAATTGGCCACAGCCCATGAATTCAGAAGACAAGATGAAGATGAAAGTGGTCAGTGGTGACAGCGTGCCGCTGGAGGGCTTTGTTTTAAGGAAAGTACGCCATAATGTGCTAGGATGTGATGCATTATGGCACATGCTCAGATGTGCCCATCGACTCCTGGCACAGCCCTGGAACAGCACAGCATATGTGCACACTCACAAGTGATTTTCCAAACACATGTAAAGATAGGGAAGGTTTCAGGAAACTTTATGCGTACCCAGATGACTAAGAAAGCCAAAACAAGGACAGATGTGCCACAAGGCTCTCTTGGGACCCAAACCCTGTGTCACACACATATAGGGAGCAGGGAGAAAGTTCAGCCAGGGAGAGAACTGCTGAAATGTGAGAGGGAGGAGGGGCAGCATAACATGCCCTTTAGGTGAAAGTCTCCTTTAATGTGTATAGGTGACAATGGCTGCATGGGCCTGTGGCTGTACTAAGACAATGGGTGTGCCTTGAAGGTGCGGCTGTTCCTAGGAAGAGGCAGTGCCTGGTACGGCTGTACTGAATCACCAGACACACACAGCTCCTCAACTCACACCTGCTAACTTACCTTTTAGTAGGTGCTTGTCAGTCAGCTACAGACAACTCCGTCCCGTTTGCTGTACACTTCCACCGTGATACTTCCAGGAAATACAGTGCACATGCATGTACGGCCCTCCTTCCTGCTGTCACTAGTAGCTGATTGGTCCGTTCCTTTCCTTGGCTATAAGAAAGCAGCTCCGGTCTCCCTTTAGCTGGGCTCTCTGTCTCCTCCTCCTGGTTGGCTGGCTGGGTGGAGAGACTTCCGTGTATGATTCACATTTCCTTGGTAACATTGTGCAAACCTGCGAGGAGAGAACTAGAGGAATGCGGGCGGCTCGGCCTTTGCAGGCTAAGACTAGCTGTTGCAAATAAATTATATACATATATATATATATATATACACATACATACACACATACCATTAGGTCCATATATATTTGAGCACAGGTGCAATTTTAGTTTTTTTCACATATTGACCAAAACATACTCAAGCTATAGTTATATAATGGATATGGGCTGAAAGTGCACACACTCAGGTTTAATTGGAGGGTATGTACATCCAAATTGGAGGAAGGGTTTAGGAATTATTTATTATAGGTACTCATATAGCGCTGTCAATTTACACAGCGCTTTACATATATAGTGTACATTCACATCAGTCCCTAACCCTCAAGGGGCGTACAATCTAAAGTCCCTAACTCACAATCATATATACTAGGGACAATTTAGACAGGAGCCAATTAACCTACCAGCATGTCTTTGGAGTGTAGGAGGAAACCCATGCAGGCACAGGGAGAGCATGCAAACTCCAGGCAGGTGGTGTTGTGGTTGGGTTTCGAACCGACGACCCTAGTACTGCCAGGTGGAAGTGCTAACCATTTAGCCACTGTGCTGCCAATTACAGCTCTTAAGAGTAGCCCCCCCCCCCCTTTTTTTCAAGGGACCAAAAGTAATTGGACAATTGAATCATAGGCTGATTCATGGCCAGGTGTGGGCTACTACTTCAATATTTCTTCATCAGTTAAGCAGGTAAAAGGTCTGGAGTTGATTCTAAGTGTGGTATTTGCATTTGGAATCTATTGCTGTGAACCTACATCATGCATTGAAAGGTACTGTCAATGCAAGTGAAACAGGCCATTGTAAGGCTTCAAAAATTAAATAAATCCATCAGAGAGGTAGCAGCAATATTAGAAGTGGCCAAATCAACAGTTTAGTACATTCTGAGGAAAGAAGAACGCACTAGTGAGCTCAGCAACATAAAAAGGCATGGACGTCCACGGAAGACAACAGTGTTGGATGATCGCAGGATCCTCTCTATGGTAAAGAAAAACCCATTCACAACATCCAGACAAGTGAAGGACACTCTCCAGGAGGTGGGCGTATCATTGTCAAAGTCTACAATCAAGAGAAGACTTCATGATAGCAAATACAGAGGGTTCACCGCAAGGTGCAAATCATTCATAAGCCTGAAGAAAAGAAAAGCCAGATTAGACTTTGCCAAAAAGCATCCAAAAAGCCAGACCAGTTCTGGAAAAGCATTCTTTGGACAGATAAAACTAAGATTAATCTGCACTAGAGTGACGGGAAGATAAAAGTGTGCAAAAGGCTTGGAACAGCTCATGATCTAAAGCACACAACGTCATCTGTAAAACATGGTAGAGGCAGTGTAATGGCATGGGCGTGCATGGCTTCCAGTGGCACCGGGTCTTTGGTGTTCATTGATGATGTGACAGAAGACAGAAGCAGCCGGATGAATTCTGCATTGTTTAGAGATATACTGTCAGCCCAGATTCAGCCAAATGCAGCAAAGTTGATTGAATGGAACTTATTAGTACAGATGGACAATGATCCAAAACACACTGCAAAAGCAACCCAGGAGCTTTTGAAGGAAAAGAAGTGGAATATTCTGCAATGGCTGAGTC